TGCCCTAATTCCCTTCGGTGCGCCCCGCCGTTTGCTCGACCGACGCCAGCTCGCCCGCGTCCGCGGGCGCGAGTCGCGCGGGCGAGCAGCCCCCCCTTGCAGTCGGAGGGCACCAACTATACACCTACACCGATCCAGCCCAGGCCGATCCTGGGCCCAGGATCGGTGCATATGCATCCTGCCCATGGCAGGAGGGCGTATACGCCGATCCTGGGCCCAGGTTGATCCTGGCCAGGATCGGTGTTGGTGTGAACTAAATTTCCAGTTGGGGGGGGGGTCGGGAAACATCGAGAAAACACATATGGAACCCGTACCCCCCCAACCCGAAATTCGGGTCTTCGGGTTGGGTTGGGGTGGCCTGGTAGGTAGTCAGGGCAGCCCCCCCCTACTGCAGTGCCCTCGGGGGGGGCAGCCCGAAGGCGCCCCGCCCCTTCCGAAGCTGCCCCCGCGGGGGCCCTTCGAAGGCCCCGCTGGCCTTCGCGGTCGGAGCGCCGCCGCCCCCTCCACGGGCATGCCCTCGTTGCGGGTGCCCATACCCTCCCTCCTCCTCCTCCTCCTCCTCTCCTCCTCCTCCTCCTCCTCCTCCTCCTCCTCCTCTCCTCCTCCTCCTCCTCCTCCTCCTCCTCCTCCTCCCTCCTCCTCCTCCTCCTCCTCCCTCCCTCCTCCTCCTCCTCCTCCTCCTCCTCCTCCTCCTCCTCCTCCTCCTCCTCCTCGTTTGCGGCCTCGTGGGGCCCTGGCCTGGCCCCGCGACGGTCAGAAAACGATCCGGGATATGACACAGAGACCCTGCGGAAAGGGTTGAGGCTTCCAGGGGCCGCGTATTGACAAAATCAGGGCGTCGCAGGTCTGGTTCTCCCATGACACAGAGACCCTGCGGAAAGGGTTGAGACTTCCAGGGGCCGCGTATAGACAAAATCAGGGCGTCGCAGGTCTGGTTCCCCCGCACAGTCGAGTTTGACTAGTAGGTCGACCCTGCCAAATCAAGGGTGCTCTTGTGTCCTGTCTGTAAGCGACCCATGGCCTCTACATTCCCAGTGCAATGTGACCCTCGGAAGTGTCTTGAGGGCTTGGGCACACTTGTCGTCCAGGCCGTGGGTAGCCGTAGAGTGCGTCAGGGGTGTGCCGAAATCTAGGCCATTAAGCCTTTTGAGGTAGCTGTCTTTTCTTGTTTTGCCGATCGGCGCGGAATGGGAAAGAGTATGCATCGATTGCAAGATGGAGCTGAGGGAGGAGGAGTGGGAAGATTGGAGCGATGAAGAAAGGGCGCTACATGGAGGAGACAAGTATATTACGAGAGAGCCGGTCTGCCGAGAACAAAAGAGGAAGGCGAAAGGAGCAACGTGGGCAGTCCATGCACTAGGAGAGATCACTGGCAGAGGAAGGAGGCCCAAATCACAAGTCTCGCACGTAAAAACCAAGATCGCCGTAGAGAAGTCGAATGAGATGGCAAAAGCGCTGCTGGATATGATAGAATTGAAGGGAGAGAATGACGGAGGCTCTTCGCTGCGCAGAAGAATACGACAGCCGACTCAACAAGTACATGGCCATGGACGTCAATGGCGAAGATGCGCTGGAAGTGGCAAAACAAGAGCTGGAAGAAAACGGGAAAGAGATGCACGAGATGGGCGACTACAACACGGCAAAGGACAAGGGAGAGAAGCCACCAGAGTATCTCAAGGCGCTGGCCTTCGTAGACAAGTGGAGCGACAACATGCACGAGGGGCACTGGATGGGACGAACAGAGGGAGAGGAGCTTGCTCGTGCGGGCCCGCCTTCTCGAACAAGCTGTGGTGGAGAGGCCCCAGTCCCAACTCGAGGAGTGACGAGTGGCACTTTTAGTGCAAGGTGGACTGGTTGCTGTTGGTGAAGGCGCAGGAGAGTCACCCAGAGGACGTGCTCTTGAAGGAATGGGTGGACAAGATGAAGAAAACTTTCGGAGCAGACTGCGAAGCATGGCCAACGATCGGGTGCGGGAACAAGTTCTTGTCGTTCAAGAGCGGGTCATCGATGGTGGTGGACCTCAAGATGGGGCCCGCATGGCAAGCGTTAGTTGCGGAAAGAAGGCCGCAGCAACTTGACGACGACATCAAGGAGTGCCATTACGAGTTCTTCGACGCGGCCAGGAAGATGCGCCCAGAGGGGCTATCCAAGCTGGTCTCATTGTCTCTCCCGATGACGCACAAGATCGAAGGTTGCGACCTCATCGCAAGGATCAATGGGAGGAGGGCCTTCACTGTGCAGAGCTGGTGCGAGCTGGCGCAGATGATTGCGAGGTATGACGAAGAGAACCTCAACAAAGTAATGACGGCTGCCATCAAGGAAATGAACGACGAGGACAACATGGACCCAGAGGAAGTGAAGAGGCTGAGGGAACGCCAGCAGCTACGAGACAGCACCCAGACCATGCTGGATGGCACCGGGATCTTCGCGGAAAGGTTCTGCTACCCCACGTCGGAGGAGACGACCGCGGCCAGCTCATCCAGCGGCCACCAGTCAGCGCGCCCACTGGAGCCTGCTGATATGCCAAGATGAGGCATTCGCGAGATTTCTCGGGGAGTTACTCAAGGCAAGATGCGAACTGGCCGTGCCCGCAGACAGTCAGGAGGAGCATTAGCGAGGTTTCTCGGAGTGCAACTCAGGACAGACCAGATGGGCAAAACAGAGCGCCTGCGTCGCCATCGTAGTGGGACGTATTTTTCGGAGTGTGTTCTCCTCATACACAGGGCTTACCTATTTCCGCGACTGCCAGTAAGCTCTACCGCGTATACACTCCGAAGGGGGAACCTTGGGCTACTTCAACAGGGCACCAGAGTACACCTGTGACAATACATGGAACATCTCTCGGCGCGACCGAGAAGTGAGCTGAGCGAGAGAGGGGGGCACGGACTTCAAAGTGTAGAGTTGCATCCCCCCAGGAACAGCTTGGGGTCTCGGGCCTTCCGTCTCTCCCCCCGCTCCTCCTTTCGAGGTCGCGCCGTCGTTTCCTCCTCCCCTTGGCTCGGGCGCCCCGCTAAGCCCGAGCGCCCCCTCCTTTTGGGCACGCGGAATGGTGCAGCAGCCGCCCTCCCCGCACTGACCCGAATGGGCTCGTGATGCAAGGTAGCCAGCCTGTCTTACGTGGCCACCGCGGAGCTCGGTCCTTGAGCTACGGGGCATACCCCCTGGCGGCCCCAGTGAGAAGGCAGGGCTGTAGCACAACAGGTCGCAGGGGATTTTGGCACTAGCGCGTAGGTCGTCTGAGTAGGTGCTTTGACGCCATATCCCCGTATGCGGACGTCCTTGTCCCTAGTCCTCCTCCCCTGCCCCCTCCTGCTCGACTGCGCGTCTTCGGGTTCCATTGTTCCATTGAGTGAAGTCTGAGCATGATGTTTCGCCATGCCGCCGCGGCGACCTCGAGGCCAACCTGAGGTTTTGTCGAGCTGCCAAGCTGACCACCGGCGCCAACAACTAAGACATTACCAGCTACCACCAGCTACGCGCGTTCCTCCACCACCTCCTCCTCCTCTTCCTCCTCCCCCCTCCTCCTCCTCTTCCTCCTCCTCCTCCTCCTCCTCCTCCTCCTCCTCCTCCTCCCCATTCCTTCTCATTATCCTCGTCCTCCCCCTTTCCCTCCTCCTCCACCTCTCTTCTCCTATTGCCCAGGAACGGGCGGTCCAGTGTCACCAGCTGGTCCAATACGCTGACCAACTCCTGGCCAGGACAATGAGAGCTGCTGGGCCCAGCCTATCGTCTGCCACCCGCCGTGAGGGGGGGCTTCGGACGGGGCGACAAATCATCCTTCGGCTCTCCGGCGATATTACGCTTCCGGAGGGCACTTGCGACCTTGTCTGGTTTCCCAAAGGTGATTTCAGGTGCGTAAGGTGCCTGATGACTGGCAACTCTGTCCAGACCCTGAAAGCCAGCCCGTGTAAGCCAGGCGCGGGCCACTGCGTTTGGACGGTTGGCCCGCTTGTGTTCGGAAGTGTTTGCGGTGCCCACAGTGACCACGACGCCCAGAAGTTCGGTCAAGATTTCCACGGAAACTGCCCGCGTGGGTCTGTGGCCTAGGACCGCCTGCGTAAGGTGTGGCGTGGCCGTCACCCACGCAGTGGAACCAAGTTTTTGGGTGCGGGAAGGTGCCTGAGACCTATCCCTTTTGGCCCATTCGCCCTCGACCACGAATTTGAGGACCTTGAAGTCCTACCCCTGTCGGAGGACGAGGATGTTGCCTAGGCGTACTTTGGTCCAGGGACCGTTCCCGTTTTAGTTTTGCGTTTTTCCCTGACGGAGGCATTCTGCCCCTCTTCTGGCCTGCCCCCCCCCCCCTCCTGGGAGGTGTCCGTCGTCCCTTGATCGCGGCTTCCGCGCGAGGCCGCTGGCTGCCAGTCTCTCTGACTGCGTCCCCCCTCTGGCCCCGCCCTCACAACACCATCTTTCTTCTCCCTGTCGCACCCCCAGACGTGTCGGTAGGGCGAGCCGAGCAGTTGGTTCGAGACATATGGCCCCGAGGCGTAGACGCGTCGTTAGGCACATATGGCCCCGAGGCGCGTACGGATGGCGGCTCTTGTTTTAAAGGTGGTTCTTGCCCAACGCCGCGCCGCATCGTCGTTAAACCTTGCAGCGATGTCAAGGATGGAGTGTGCTCATTTTCAAAATGTGGTTCTCGCCGTGGCGCCGCGCACATTGGCTGTGGACGTTGTCAACATGTCAAGGGTTCGTACGGTTCAAGTCCTCGGAAATTTGTTGTGGCACGATTGACGGCCGCCAACACGTGCCAGTCATGTTTACTCGCGGCACGGAAGTCCCAGGGAATGTGTTTTTTGGCACGATTGAGGATTGTCAGCCGTGTGTGTTTCAACGGGGAAGCTCCCGCCATGGCAAAAAGATGAATTGCAGGGACCTGTAAAGAGTGAGCTTAGGGGAGGGTTTATCGCAACATCGTTGATGCGCCTTTGGTTTGCACAGGTCCTCCTCCTCCTCCTCCTCCTCCTCCTCCTCGTTCCTCCTCCCTCCCTGCCGAGGCCGTGTCCGAGCACCTGAGCGGGGCTCCTGGGGCGCTGCGGCAGTTCTCGCCGCAGGCGGTCAGCAACGCGCTCCTGGGCTTCGGGCAGCTGCGCTTCCGCCACGAAGGCGCGCCTCCACCCAAGAGCAGTGCGGCTATGCAAGGCGCGGAGTGAAATTTGAGATCCTGGCGTGATATCTTGTCACAGTGGGCGTTTTTTGGGGCCGCTTTCGGCCCCCAGGACCCTCACATCTCGATCCGGCTTGAGAAATGAAGCTGAAGGTGGGATCTTGAGATTTGGTCGTGGTTTTTCATTTCCAATGTCTCATGTTTCTCTTCAACGTCAGATTTGAGGGCAGGGGAGGAGGAGGAGGAGGAGGAGGAGGAGGAGGAGGAGGAGACCGGAGGCCGGAGGATTTGGAGGACGGGTCGGAGCCAGAGGGGATGGGCGAGGAGGGGGAATCGGAGGAGGAGGAGGAGGGGGGGGGAGCCGGAGGAAGGAGAGGGAGGAGCTGGCTGAGAAACACATCACTTCATTACGCCGCCCAGCTGCTGTCCACATGGGCATCCTGGAGGTCGGATGCGTTGCTCCGGACGGGCCGCGTGGAGGAGGGAGAGAGGGGAGGGGGAGGATTTAGGATAGGAGGGAGAGACTGATATTTATATATATATATAGAGAGAGAGAGAGAGACAACAAAAAAAAAGAAGAAAGAGCGAGGGAGGGAGAGAGAGAGAGAGAGAGAGAGAAGGCGAGAGAGAGAGAGAGAGAACCAACAAGAAATTTCTATAGAAGAGGAGAGAGAGATAAATAAAAAAACAAGTGAGAGAGAGAGAGAGAGAGAGAGACGGCAAGTCAGAGAGAGAGAGAGACAGAGGCAGAGCAAATGAGAGAGAGAGAGAGAAACACATATACATATATGTGTATATATACAGATAGAGGAGAGGGAGAGCGATATAGAGAAGGCGAGTGATACATATATACATATATATGCATATATATAATATACATATATATGTAGAGAGAGAGAGAGAGAGAGAGAGAAATAAAGAAAAGCAAGCACAGGCATACATAAATAGAGACAGAGAGAGAAATATAAAGAGAGAGAGAGAGAGAGGGAGACGGCGAGAGAGACAGAGGCAGAGAACGAGAGAGAAAGAGAAAGAGAGAAAGAGAGAGCGAGACAGAGAGAGAGAGAGAACAAAAACAAAAAGAAAGAGAGAAAGTGAGAAAGCGAGACCATGGAGGCGGGGGGGCGAAAGGAGGAGGAGGTGAGGAGGGAGGGAGGGAGGCAGGGGGGGGGGGGGGAAAAGGGAGGGAGCCACGGAGGGAGGGAAGCGGGGCTCGGGTGGGGAGGGGGCGGAGGGCGGGGAGGAGAGGGAGGGGCCCGCCCAGCCCAGGCGTGCTCTGCGCTCTCGCCGAACACGCCCTCCCGAGGCTGCCCGAGTTCAGCGAGCAGCAGGCCCCTTGCCGCGGGCGAGGGCCGGGGGCCCCCGAGCGGCGCGGTGACCACGCCGTGGAGGAAGGCTCAGAGATGTGCTGGCTCCCCGGACGTCCGGCGTGTCGAGCAAAAAAGTGGAGGCAGAGGTTATTCCATCGGTCTCGGCGTCTCGGGGCCCTTTTGCAGGGCCTCGGGGCCGTCCACCAAACGACTCGGGATGAAGAGCTGGTCCCGGGGAAGTGGTCGAGAGAGGTCGGGGGCCCGCGTCTCGAACAAAAACGAGACGCCGGATGTCTGGGTCAGCGTTTCGCTCCGCAGGTGTTCTGGCCCACCGCGCTTGGGCGCGACATGGTACAGTCGGACCGACGTGTCAGATCGAGTTCGGCTTGGGGGTGTGCGCTAAAATGTTCTTCGTGCTGCTTGGATGTTCTTGTGTATCCTGGGGGAGGGCACCCTCGAATGCTCTTCATTTTAGCCGGCGGAGGGTCCCATGTTCTTGAAGTATGTTTTGCTATCTTCGGTCCGACTGTATCCACTCCCAGTCCCAAGAGTCCACGTCCCGAGCCTTGCCGAGCCTCCTGCCCCGCGGAGCGGCGCGACACGCTTTCCGCTCGCAGGGCTTGCGTGTCGCCGGGGCCGCCGCGGCGACCCGCCAAGCAAAAGATCCTGACCGCAGGCTCAGGGGATCGGCTCAGGGAGTCTTCGGACGTTTTCGTCGATTCCCCGCGGTTTTCCAACCGAGAGCGCTCCCAGAGTGCGCAGATCGTCCCGAAAAGCCGCCGGAGGCCCAGGGAACATCAGGTAGGCTCAGGGTGGGCCGTACGGTTTTGAGACTCGAGCCGTTCTCCGACGATGTCTCGGGCGATCGGGGCATCCAGTGTCCCAGAACGGTGCGGCGACGGACGGTGCGGTGAGGTCTTTTGGCTTCAGGGATTCCGACATCGCCGGACGGTCTGTCACCGCACCGTCTTGGGACGCCCAAGAGAGGGGTGCGGGGGTGGAAGGAGGGGGAGCTGCTCGACGGGGCACCTCCTTTTCTATGTTGGCAGGGCGTTTTCAGATCAGATGAGCAGAGGCGGTGGACAGCGTCCCAGAGGACGGCGTGAAACGAGGCGGCAGACATGCTCGGTGCAGCTGCAGCACGGTACCGGGACGGCAGGTCAGTTTTGATTACACACGAGCCTACGAATTACAGGTGCAGCTGGTATACTGAAGGGGGCAGGACGGATCTCCCGCCGTCTGTCTCGATGTCCTCCTCCGTCCTTCTTGATGTCCGCCCTCGCGTTCTATCACGTCCTTCTCGGTGTCCTCCTTGATGCCCACCGATGCCCACCCCCCCGCAGCGCCCGCAGCCCCGATTCTGGACTCGGGCTGGTTTTCATTTGATGTCACGGGCGTTGTTGCTGGCACATGTGTTGCCAATGTTGTTGTTCATACTGTTTTCCCCAACCATCTTGTAGTCTGTAGTGTTGGATCCTCCTTTGGAGAAGAGATCCTCGCGTCTCCTCTCCTCACCTCTCCTCCTCCTCCCCCCCCCTCCCCCTCCTTTACTTTGGCACACCCCTGACACGCTTCGTGGCCCCATAGGGAGCTCCACCGAAGGCCCATATGCCAGCGATCGCATGCGGCCACCGCACACATCTCTGCACACGCCTCATACGTTTCGTGGGCCCCCACAGGGGGCTCCAGCGAAGGTCCAGATGCCAGCGCTCGCACGAGGCCACCGCTCCCATTGTGGCGCACCTCTCACACGCTTCGTGGGCCCCATTGGGAGCTCCAACGAAGGCCCAGATGCCAGTGCTCGCATGCGGCCACCGCACCCATTCTGGCACACGCCTCACACGTTTCGTGGGGCGGCGCCCATTCTGGCACAAGCCTCACACGCTCCGTGGCCCCATAGGGAGCTCCACCGAACGCCCAGATGCCAGCGCTCGCATGCGGCCGCCGCACCCATGTTGGCACGCGCCTCGCACGTTTCGTGGCCCCATCGGGAGCCCCACCGAAGGCCCAGATGCCAGCGCTCGCGTGCGCCCACCGCGCCCATTTTGGCACACCCCTCACACGTGTCGGACGTGTCGTGGGCCCATAGGGAGCTCCACCGAATGCGGTGCATACAACGACGGTGCCCACAACTACAGATGGTTGGGTCCTTCGCCAGGCTAATTTGTTGCACCGCAGGGCGAACTTTTCATGCTCTGTCCCGTAGGGTCTATTTTGTATTGGCGTTTTGCCCTCCATGGCTTTCTGCTCGGTTTGTTTTTCTGCTCGGCAGGGCGCACTGTTGGTATTATAGTCTCGCAGAGCGCATATTTCTGATATGGTAGCCTCGTGGAGCATGTTTGGGTGATTTGATGGCCTCGCAGAACTGTCGGGAAAACCATCGGGACAACCATCGAGACAACTTTCACACTACGGCCGACACGCGGGGCAATTCATTGTCGTCTGACTTGGCCCTAGCCAATGGACGAACACGGGCAGCTTCGCCTCGATTCGCCCACACGCACGCCGCGAACGAAACGAAACGACTTCTTGGCTTGGGCACCTCACGTGTCGCTTCGGCCTCACCCCCCAGTCTCCGATATACCTTCATAGACCACCCCTTGGGTGATAAGGAGGTTGGAGGGGTGTGACGTCACCTTGGATTTGCACTGGACGCGAAATTCAACTCACGAGTGGACTTACCTTGGGAAATCAAGACAGACTTGTTCTACCTATGTATTTGCGTGCCTCTATTTTTCTGTGTATGCATATACGTGTGCGTGTGTGTGTGTGTATGGATAGCTGTCCGTAGATCGAGGTGTGTAGATCGAGGTCGGCTCGGGCAGGGTACCCTCATGTTCTTCGCGTGTGATGGATATTACCGTGCATCCCAGGGAGGGTACCCTTGGATATTCCGTGTGTGTGTTGGCCGGCGGAGGGTCTCATGTTCTTGAAAGATGGTTTTTCTACATCCGGCAGTGCTTATCCAGTTATCTATCCCATTGTTTTTCCCACTCGTTCCATAACGTCATCTTCTCAATAGGTTCACTACTTTATTTCTCAATGTGCTGTTCCGCTTCGCGCATTTTGCGTGTGTGCCCCGCTGGGCGCTCTATAGGGGCTTCTATAGCCTCGCAAATCGCATTGTTTTGCATTATGGCCTGCAGACCCATCGGGGCAACTGTCGGGACAACCATCGGGACACACACCGGGGTAGCCATCGAAACAATCATCGGGACACACATTGACAAATCTGTCCGCAAAGCAGTCGCGACAAATATCGGGACAACCATCGGGAACACCATCGGGACAACCATCGGGAAAACCGCCGGAGCAACCAACGGGACAACCATCGGGAAAACCATCGGGAAAACCATCGGGACGGACATCGGGACAAACATCGGGGCAGCCATCGGGGTAGCCATCGGAACACCATTGTGTCAGCACGGCCGTGCCCCGGGCGACCTGTTTTTTTTGCTGAGCTGGCCCTGGCCAGGAGAGGGACTCGCGCAGCTCTTCGCCTCGCCTCGCCCGCAAGCACATCACTCAGGAGGCAAAGAAACACACAGACACAAATAATCGTCGATTCCCCAGAAAATATGGGAAAATATGAGAGTGGGGGGGGAAGGCAGGAATCTAGAAAATATTAGGAAATATGGGGAATCCTGTTAATTGTGTGTATTTATTGGTGTGTCCCAGGGCCCCTTCAATCACGCACCACGCGAATCGAAGTCGGCATCGAATTTTACCGATTTGGGCACCTCGCCGTTGATTTCGGTCTCGCCCCCAACCTCCGACGTAGCAGACGGAGGAAGAGCAGCACCAGGGAGAGGGGCAGCAGTTGGAGGAGCCCCAGCCCTTTTCCCGGCCCCTCCCTCATCCGCCCTGCTGTTGACGCGGCAGTTCCTGCTCCTCCTTCTCCTCAGGTCATCCCTCCATTTCTCCATTCCGTTCCATTTTGTTCCTCCTCCTCTTTTTCTTTCTCTTCTTCCTTTCTCATGCGTTTGCTCCTTCTCCTTCCTCATCGTTCGCTTTTGCTCTGACTCCATTTTTATTGTTCTGCTCCTCCTCTTCCTACTTTTACTCCTCCCCCTCCTCCCTCCTCCTCCTCCTCCTCCTCCTCCTCCTCCTCCTCCTCCTCCTCCCTCCTCCTCCTCCGTCTCCTCGGTCGGTCGGTCGGTCGCTGGCGGAGAATAGGTGCCAATGTGGAGAGAATAGGACGAGAAGCCCATTGGGTGAAGAACGAAGCATGGCACAATACTGCATACCACTAAGCGGACTACAATACTGCATACCACTAAGCAGCCACAACACATGGAGCAGCATGGGTACGATCGACAAAGCTGATGAAGCGAATCATAGACAGAACAAGGACATACAACAAAAGGGGAGCAGGAAAAAAAGAGCCTTCCCCGTCATCAAACAACTGGATACTGCCTGAGGCGCAGGCGAGGCCACCTGGCTTCGCCATCTCTGAAAGTACTGCGAGAATGCGGCCGCGCACCGTGCAGCCCTCTTGAGGGTGGCTCCGTCGTTTCAGAGTCCTTCTCCAGCGTTCTGACGCTGCTACTCGAGTCCGTTCTGCAACACTGATAAGGATAACACAGCACACCACATAAAGAATAATGGCAATCAACCAAAAGAGAAGCAGACTTGCCGCGGTTATCACTGCGTCGGCGCACGGAGATTGTGGATCATGCAATCCATCGCCATGTCGCTCGCCACATACGGATCCCAAGGGGCAGCGAACCGCCTGAGAGATAGGGCCCCCCCCCCAGCCGTCGTCATTGTCTGAGAGATCTATGGTTATCCCGAGAGCCCGCTCCTCTGACATAGTCCATCGCAGTGGTGGCCTGGTCAGGTCAAGAGGTGTGATGTCTGGTCGGCGGTCTTGGCAAATCTTCGGGTACCTTGTTCTAGCTTTAGCTACAATCGCAGTGGCGATAGTCTGGCACAACTGCGGGGGGTACACCTTATGTTGGGAGGCGCCATAGTCTGCTATCTCCAAGCCCCCCACCGTTCTATGCTCGTCCACGTGCGCGCATCTTCTCCCCCCCACGCGAGCTTCCACGATCTCGCGAAGTGAGGGGCACCTGACGGTAAGCAGCGCCGTGAGTTTTTTTTGCACGACCCCCGAACATGCACTGATCGATACGCACTTGAGACACCTCGGGGAGATCAATCAACTTCCCATCTAGGGGAGCCTCCAGGGGGAAGGGGCCAAGGGAAGACTCTCGTCGTGCGCAGGGTGCTCCAGGATAGCAGGTACCCCCAGGACCCAGCACTCGTACATCAGGCGAACAGTAGCACGCAATAGGAGGTTCTCCAGACGAACCTGCTGGTGTTCGCGTGCGGTCAAGTGTCCAAGCCCACAAGGTTGCCCGAGTGACCGAAGCGGGCGCCGGGGTCGACGTTTTCCTCCTCCCTCCTCCCTCCTCCCTCCTCCTTCCTCCCTCTTTGTTTCTCCTCAGTATCCCTTCTCTTCGTCTCCCCCCCTGCCTGCTAAGGGTCCCATCGCACGGTCTTGCCACCGAAAGGTGCGTTGCGGGGAGGACCAGCCTTTAAAAGGGGAGGTTGAGGTGGGGAGGCCCCCTCCCTCCCCCTCCTCCGCTTCCCTTCCCCTCCCTCCTCCCTCATCGCTCTCGCCTCCCTCATTATTCCCGTCCCCTCCCATTCTCCCTCTCTTCCCCCCTGCTCCACCTCGTCTTCCTCGCCCTCCTTAAGGGTCATCCTTCTCCTTCGCCTCTCGGCTCAGGGAGGAAGTCGGGGAGCGAGCGAGCGAAGAAGCGGGTCCAGGAGGAGAGGGGGATCCCATTGCGAGGACAGCTCCCAAGGAGGCAAAGGACAGAACGGGATGCCATGGAGAAGAAGGAGGACAAGGAGTGGGGGGAGGAGGAAGAGGGCTCTGGGAAAAGAGGAACCGCAGAAACAGGAGCAGAGGAAAGGCGCAGGAGAAGGAGCAGACGAGCAGACGGAGCAGGAGACGCAGGACGAGGACGGGGACACTCGGGAGGATGAGAAAGACGAGGACCAGCAGGAGAGGATAGGCCAAGTGAGGGCCCCAGCTTGCCACTTGCGTTCCAGCATCGAGAGAGCACACTATGGCTTACCAGCGCAGCCGGCGGGCGACACCTCGCTCCGCGTCGCCTCGCTCGGACCGTGCTTGGAGCGCCGCCCAGACGAGCGCTCGGGGAGGGGGTCCCCGATGCTGAGAGGAGCCCAGCCCAGCGGGAGGGACGCGTGCGCGCTTGTGGATTCGGGTTCCGCAGCATCTGGCGCAGGCATTTGGCCCACGATTGCCGTTGCCGAGCAGGTCGCCCTCGCCCCCCGGCCTCCGCCCGGAGGTCTCACCGGGGGCCCCTCCTCGCCATGGCTGGGCGGAGCGGGCCGGACGAGAAGCTCATCGTGGAGGCTGGCGCGGCCGTGGATAACCTTCTGGCCCCAGACGCGAAGACGGCAACGCGGCATAAACTCTCGGAGCTCCGCGCGGATTTCCTGGGTCCGAGCTCGGCCCCTGGCGGGCTCCGCGCGCAGGGGAGGGGGGGTCTAGCGCGGACTCAGACACCCGCGCGTACCTCCGACTTGCTTTATGTATAGGGTCAGGAGCTTTGGTTTAGCGTGTCGCACCGCTGGGTTTCGCCCACCGCGGTTCGGCGCGACACGCTGTCCACGTCCCCAGTCCCGAGCACATTTCCCAGCCTCCCGCCCCGCGGAGCGAATCGACACGCTGTCCGCTCGCAGGGCATGGCCTGTCACCAAAGGCCTCCGCCGCGGCACGCTGAGCAGAGGCCTCTGACCGTCTGACCTCAGGAGGGGAAAGAACACACAGACACAATTAATCGTCGACTCCCAGAAAATATAAGAAAATATGTGAAGTGGGGGGGAAGACAGAAACCCAGAAAATGTGGAAAGATATGGGCGATATTTTTATTTGTGTGTATTTATTTGTGTGTCCCAGTTCCCCTTCATGACCGTCCGTTTATGCCGTCTTCTCTTCCTCTGCGGACGTGGAGGGCGGTGGGCCCACGGAGCAGCCGCGCCCCTGCTGGGCGGCGCGCCCGCGCTCGCTCGCCGCGGCGCTGCTGGCGAGCGCCGTGCTCGCCGCGCTGGCGCTGGCGGCCCCGCGCGCGCTCGCGGAGCGGGGCCGCGCCGCCGAGCGGGCGGCGGCGCTCGGGGGAGAAAAAGATACGGATACGTGTTGTCCCCCTTCGTTTTCGGCCTTTCCTGGTCCTCCTGGGGAATCCTCGTTGTCACCGCTGGATTCACCTCGAAATTCTGGTCAGAACGCACCCCAGGAGAGGTCCGGGGACAACACGTATCCGTATCTTTCCGCCCCCCGAGGCGCTGGGCGCCGCCGTGTCCCTGGCGGACACGTCCGCCGCGATGCTGGACGCCGTGAACGAGGCTGGCCTGTCGATCAGACGCAAGAGTGGCCCATCGCCGGAGTGACCCTTGGTGCGGGCATAGGTTGGCCCCCGGGTCGGCGAGCGCGGAGCAGCAGCAGCGTCTTGCGCGGTTGTGCTTGGTCCCCCAAGGGCCCCCCACAAGCCGCGCAGCAAAGGTCACTCTTACCCAGGGTCACTCTTGCGTGCAGCCGACCCTGAGACCCTGGCGTCGCAGTTTTTTCGCAATGGGCGTTTTCGCCCAGCTCGCGCCTCAGGGCCCTCACAAATCGATCTGGCTCGCAGAATGACGCAGAGTGATGGGGTCTGGGGGGCCGGTGGTGATTCTTTGCGAGGTTGCAACTAGTTCTGCCACGTCAAAGTCTGAGGGTTGGAGCCAGCTAAAGGTCTTAGATGGCCGGAGGTTGATCGACCTCCTACCCTGACACGTCGATGATCAAATTGGCCGTTTTCGGTTCGCGAGAGGGCGTCGCGGCCGTCGGTTGGGCGGGTCCAGGTCCACTGGTTTCGGTCCTAGGCCGTCTTCACTAAAGGGTGGTTTTTACTAAAGGGAGGTGTGTCCACCGCCGAGATGGCCCAGTCTGGCCAGCAGGAGTGTCGGGCCGGGCGAAAGGGGGGGATTGGGAAAGGGGGGGTTACGAGATTTGCTGCGTGCAGCTGGTTTCGGCCCCACCGAGGGGCCCACTCATCGATACATGGCCGCCTCCGGCGCCGGGAGGCGCCGGGAAAATCAGCTACGCGAGCTGATTCTCAAACCCCCCCTTTGCTATCCCCCCCTTTCGCCCGACCCGAGAGTGGGGGGGGGGGCAGGCTCGAGGTGCCTGGTTCGACAAAGCGTTTTGCCCATTTGGGCCTGCGGGGGCCGCGTTCGGGCGCCGAGATGGCCCAGTCTGGCCAGCAGGAGTGGGGGGGGGCAGGCTCGAGGTGCCTGGTTCGACAAAGCGTTTTTTACCCATTTGGGCCTGCGGGGGGGCGGCGTTCGGGCCCCAGGATTTAAGTCGGGCGTGTCCCCCTCCACAGGGGGAAGATCCGAGGCCCGAAAACCATCACGTCGCTAATTTTGGGCCCCAGGGCCAACCGATGCCCCAGACCCAGACCTCCTCGAGTAATGAAAAAAAAATGACGGGATGTTTTTCCCAATTTTCGGCCTCCGGGGGCCCTCACCAGGCCTCGGGAGCGTCAAAAAACGACTCAGGATGCAAAGCCGGTCATGGGGAAAGGGTCCAGACCTCTGGGGTCGACGTAATGAAAAAATCATTACGTCGGGGGTCTGGGGAGGCACCAGATTAGTGAAGTGATGTTTTTTTTTCCCACGTGAGGACCCCGACATTCATCACTTCACTAAGCCGAACCCAGGACGAAAGTCAGGGGCCGCATTGCTGCTGTGATGCAACATGGGTCTCGTAGAACATTTTGAGAACTTTTGTGCTTTCGTCCAAAATTCGCCTGTAGGGGGACACGCCCGACCTAAGCCCAGGACCGTCAAAACGGATCCGGGGTGAAAGACTGCACCAGGTGGACTCCAGGAGGGGTCCAGGGCCCGATTTTGACCAGTTTTGCCCATATCCCTGCTTCTTGACAGATTTTCTCGAGGTCCATCCAGTTCAGACCCCCGGGCCGCCTCCCAAACCAGGCGCGCCAGTCGGAAGGCCTTCCAAACCTCTGCTTCAACGAGAAGCTCAACACAGCTGCGCAGCAGCACTCCGACGACATGAAGCATCACTTCTTCATATCGCACACCGGCACCGACGACAGTTCGCCCGAAGAGCGCGTAGAGCGCGCAGGCTACAATTGGGCTGCGGTCGCGGAGAACGTGGCCAAGGGACAGGAGACTGTCGCCGTCGTGATGGCCTCGTGGATGAACAGCCCAGGGCACAAGGCCAACATCCTCCACACCGGCATTACCCACTTTGGTTTCGGAAACAACGGCGTCTATTGGACGCAAGTTTTCGGCGCCTCCCGCGGCGGTGACGTCTGCATTGGGGCCGAGTCTTCCGGCGGCGGCCACGACGATGATGCGTCGGCGGACTCCGAGGGCGACGCGGGCGGGTCCAGCGGCGAGAGCGAGAACGCCGGCGGCGGCGAGGAGGGCGGCGTGTACCAGTGTTGCATTTTCGACCACCTCGGGATCAGCATCGCGTGCTATCCGGAGAAGCAGTGGTGGATGCCCTGGTGTCCCGGCGAGGTGGCGGAGTGGCCGTGGTCGAAGTACTTGCCGTGGAGCGGGGGCGGAGACGAGCAGGAGGATGCGAGCTGACACGTGCATCGCCCTGTGTAGCGAGCCGGACCGAGCGCGCTGCGAGTGGCAGGGGCCGCGCGCCTGGTGCGCCCGCGATCGCGAGGCGACCTGGCCGGCTGCCCGTCTGTGTGTGTTTGCCGCCCTGCACTGCTGTTTTTCGGGTGGCGCTTGTCTTGTCTGCTCTGTGTGCGATTCGCTTGGCCTCTGGCTCAAACGATGCCCCCTGGAGGTCCGAGCTGACATTGTTTACGTAGGGGACCGCGGTTGCAGAACAAAGGATTTATGTAGCACAGCAGTCCTGTTTGGCACGTTGTGTGTAGCAGTATAGCTGATCTGCTCAGCACGCCGTAGCCGTAGCTAGGTCGGGCATTCTTCATAAGGCTTGCGGACGCGCGGCTGGTCGGAACGCGGTGCAGGCGACAAAGGATGAAGGAATGATCCGCCAGCTCCGTTCCCATGTAAGAAGCTCGTCGTGGTGCCGACAAAATGCGGACGCAGCATGCCTGCCAGCCGATGACCTCTCTCCTCGTCTCGATCTGCCTCCGCCTCCCTGCATTTTCTTGCCATCGTGTTGCTTCGGTTCTGTTCCCAACGGATCCCGCTTTGCTGCGCTCACCTGCGCAGCGCTGACAGCAAGCAAACGCTGGACGGCTGCACCAAAGAACAGAGGGGGCACCCCTGCATTGCAGGCATTCGCGGCCTGGATCACCAGCGGACGGGCTCGCCACGGTGCTTCTCCCTGGGCGCCCGCTGGGCCGGGCGGACCTCCCAGACGGGGGCCGCTGGCGCAGAGCGCGAGGGGCAGGCCATACTACGGGTTCCACCCGTGCACCTCTTCGGCGCCCGCGGCACCTGGTGTGCGCGCCCGCTGGGCCTCAAGCGCCACCGCGTCTGCCAGCGTCGACAAGGAGGCCACAGCATCGCCTCGAGAAGGAACCGCTCTCTGCTCCAAATCCCTTCTGAATCGTCCCCCGGGTCCGGTTTTTTAAGGCGCCTTTTTTGTACCTGGGGGGGTCCGGTTTATTAGGGCGCTTTCTTTGGATTGGAGCTCAGGGGGTCTGGTTTATCAAGGGAGCATTTTTCTCCCTCCCCCCGTCGGGGCCAGAATCCTCGTGAGGGGTGTCGAATTTTAGCCCTCCCAGGAGTCGAAAAAGACCCCTCCGGCGACCCGCGGAGGGACCTCTCCAGGCCCAGGGGGAGGGGGTAGGGGGAGGGGTAAACCCCTCCCCGAAGGGGAAGAAGGGGGGTTGAGAACAGAGAGAGCTCGCTAAACCACTCACGCCCAAAGGGCTGGTGGGATTCAGGCCTCCCAGATAGGGAGTAGATTGGGTCGGAGGATCGCGCCGCATTGCCGATGCGTCGACGATGTGGCTCGATCTGGCGCCCGATGTGCTCCACGCCGACATCGCCGATGCATCGCCGACGTCGCCGGTGCATCGCCGATGCATCGGCGATCCATCGACGTGGAGGCACGGGAGGCCGTCACGCGTGTCACCTCGCCCCAGGCTTAGGGGAGCCGTGATGATGATTATGATGATGCTGCTGCTGATGATGATGATGTTGATGATGATGACGGCAATGAGGATGAGGATGAGGATGATAATGATAATGGTGATGATGCTGATGATTATGGTGATGATGATGACGATGATGATGCTGATGATGTTTATGCTGATGTTGGTAGAACTGCTGCTGCTGCTGCTGCTTTTGTTGCTAACAATGATGGTGCTGATGATGATGATGATGATGATGATGATGATGATGATGATGGCGGTGACGATCATGTTGATCATGTTGGTGATGATGACGACGCTGATGTTGATGATGGTGATGATGATGATGTTGATGATGATTAAGATGCTGCTGATGATGATGATGATTATGACGGTGATGGTGATGATTTTGATGGTGATACTGATGATGATGACTCTGATGATGATGACTCTGATGATAATGACTCAAATGATGCTGATGATGCTGCTGATGATGATGATGATGATGATGATGATGATGATGATGATGATGATGATGCGGGTGTTGGTGCTTCATCTCCAGGCCTCCAGCTTTAGGGACTGCCCGAAGCGCCGGTAGGTGTGCAACCTGCTGCACGCCCTCGCCCGGCTGGAGTTTCGCCACGACGCGTTGTTGGGGGCTGTGGCCGGCTCACTCGACGCGCGGCATGGGTGCGGGATCCAGCCTCGGGCCAATACCGTTGCTTAACCGATCCTTATACCCGTCCCACCACCCCGGGTGGGGATCTGCTCCTCCTCAGACATGCTCGCGCTGTCAGCAAAAAACACGACCGGAGCCATTTGGCCGCTTGAAGCTTTCTACCCGTGGGAGCCCTCGCCGGGCCCTGGGACGGTCAAATCACGACTCGGGATGGGAAACCGGCGCTGCAGGGGAAGTGGTCGGGACTTCCGGGGACCGCGTATGGAGAAAAACCAGATATCGCATAGATGGGTTCGCACTTTTTCCGAGGAGAAGAGTAAGAAGGTATCGATACCGCTGCTCGTCCTGGAGAGCCGTCGCCGCCACGGCTGGAATCTCTTCGAAAGTGAGGTCCGAACGCGCCCCTGGAGAGGTCCAGGGAGTAGCGACATGATTCTCTTCATGTTGCCCCAAGGATCATGTTCTCTTCACCTCCTTCCTTCCCTCCCTCCTCCTCCTCCTCTTCCTCCTTCCTCTTCTCCTTCTCCTCCTCCTCCTTTTCCTCCTAGCCCCCTTTGCCCGAGATGTTGCACAATCGGCGGCCAGCGGCGCAAAGGCCGAGTTCGTATCTCGCGCCCGCATGGCGACCCGCGTAGTTGTGGCGCTGCGTTGCTGCTCTTGGCGTTGGATGATGAGGCTTCTGCAGTGGAGCGCTCGGAGCGCCAGTGTTCAGGAGCGGTTGAGTGAGGTGTCTGCTGAGTTTCGCTACATCGATATTCTACTGGTACTGGCGCGGGTGGGCGCGACCTGGCTACGACCCGCAGTCGGCTACCATGTCATACTGCCTTGAAGTCTGGCTTGAAACCAGCCGCGCATTCAAACACGAATTGCAGATGTACTGTTCCTTTTCGGCGTCGGGTCTTCCTTTTCGGCGTCGTGTTCTTCGTGCACCCCACATCCTGGACACGCTGCCCACCCCCCTGAAACTACAAGGTAGGGTGGCTCTCGTTCGATTGCGGTCAGGCCCGTTTGATATGCCGATGTTATATTGTCATCTTCGCTTGTCGTCTCGGCGAGAAGCTACAGATAACGGTGAGAATTACACTTATTTGCAATATCATGTGACGGTGGATGCGTTCTGTGACTGGTTGGAAAAATTGGCGTGGGCTCGAGGGCAGTCTGCTCTTTTTGGGAGTTCGGTCTCAACGATGTCTTGGGGCTGAGGACATATATCAAATTAGTTATTCAGGAAGTTGCCTTGCGATGCGCTGGGCTTCCACGGGCGTTTGTGCAAAGGTATGCCGTCAACTAATTGCTGGAAGTTGTCGAGCGGTTCGCCTCGCGAGTTATCACGACCGATCGCGTCTCCGGGCCCGCAGACCATGGTGTCAGGAGTGCCTCGTGCATCGATCATGCGGCCATCTTCTCCTGGCAGGTGCCGCCCGCGCGTAAGGCAAGCGCGCTGGAATCGGCCAACACGCGGTTCTAATGGATACCGCGGTTTAGATTGCAGTGCCACGTGCCCATCCTCGTAGATTGCATTTGCACATTGACAGCAGCACCAGCTTCGCCTGGCTTTGCCTTAGATTTGGACCAGCTCTCGTGACGCTGGCATTGCCGCCTTTGTTCGAGAACTGGGGCAGGCTTTTTCGACGCACCCCGATTACTTCGACGAGCTCAGCTCAGCGGTGGCCCCCGACATGGCTTTGGATACATGGATGCAGACAGTGGCTCGGCTCGCTCAGAAACACATCACGGGCCCGAGCCCCGAACGTCCCAGGCCTGCGCGGCTTCGACCGGGCGTCTCTCTCTGTTGGCCGAACGGGGGGAGTTGTGCGAGGAGGGGGTCGATTCCGAGACGACGGCTCTGGCGCTGGCGCGCGCCCTTCGTCGGCCGCGCGCTCTGAGGGGGTCGCGCGCGGAGGTGCGAGCGGAGATGCGATTGGAAGGGGGTGGCAGCTGCTTGGCAGCGGCGAAGGTTTGCAGAGGCGCGGCGGCTGAGCAACTTGCTTGCCGCTCGTAGTCGCGGGCCTGGGCGCAGGCGACGCATCGCGGGCGGCGGCTTCGCCCCGCTGCGACGCGAGATTTCGCGCCACTTCGCGCGGGCAGGGGCCGACGGCGGCCTCGAGGCAAAACAGATCGAGTTCGAGGCTCGCAGGCAGGGGCGCCGGATTGCTAGCCGCGCGCGCCCGCGCGCGACGTCGGCGACCACCCCGCGGAGAATTGCGGAATGGCTCAAGGTAGCCATCTTGGCTCAAGTAACCATCTTGGCTCAAGTAACCATCTTGGCTCAAGTGAGCCACGCTAGCAGTCACCAGGTCAGCCAGAGGGGATCGCTTACTCAGGCAGGCCGCATTGAACATGAGCGAGGGCAGGAAGCTCAAGGCGAATGGGAGCAACGCCGAGGCGCCAGACAAGAAGATCGCGCGCTCGGGCACGAGGGAGGAAGAGGAGGATGCAGGCATGCAGCATGCTGGTGAGAAGGCGGAGGCCGATGAGGTTGAGGAGGAGGAGGAGGACGAGGAGCAGGCGGAGGAGGAAGATATCGAACTGGACATGAAGGGCATGATGACGAAGATGATGAAGATGATGAAGGGCATGCGTAAGGACTTAAAAGGATACGAAGAAGGAGGCAACGAATGCCAACGTCGTCGCACAGCAGGCGCAGGCTACAGCGAGCAGGGCGGCACAAGCAGTGGATGATGTACAAAAGTCGGTAGAGAACGTCAGGGAGGAGGTGGGACAATTAAAAGATACCACGATCAAGAAAGACGAACTGCCGCAATTGGTTAAAGACATCGTGAAAGGGGTAGGAGTCGGCAGGGTAGCAGGAACAGGAAGCGGCGGAGGAGGAGGAGGCGGTGGAGGAGGCCTCAGGTCAGCTGGCCAGGACGATGAGAAGAGGCGCGCCGTCACCTTCGGGAACTTCCCAGAGGACACCAAGAGCGAGTATATCATCGAACAGATCAACAAGCTGGTGGCGGCTGTGACGGCGGACCTGGAGAAGGACGGTGTGTCTGCATACGGCAAGCGGTACGCGACGAGAGGGGGTGCACGGTTCAAGACGGAGGAGGCCATGATGTCTTTCTTGCGGAAACCTGACACGCCGAAGTCGTTCGAGATTGGGGGGCAGCGTATTTACCTCAACCGGGACGTGCGCAAGACGCCAGAGGACGAAGCCAAGGACAGAGCTGTCCGGAAGCTCGTCAGAGCAGTGATCGAGAACGAGGGGGGGAATGGGGACATCGTGAAGGCAGACATCGACGCGGACTACCGCCGGGGGATCGTGAGGTATAAGGACGCCCGGATTGGCGAGCACAAGAACGGCAACATGGAGCTGAAGGGCGAGGGCATCAAGCTGGAGGCTCGGTACCTGGCGCTGCTGGAGTAGGGCCCGGCTGCTGCTGATGAGGCTGTTATTCGGGGAGGCTGTCGTCGGGGAGGCGACGACAGGAGACGGAGAAGAGGAGGAGGCAGAGGTAGAGGTAGAGGTAGAGGTAGAGGTAGAGGAGGGGAGACAGGGGCACCCGCGTGCCCAGGCGGCGGGCGCGGCGCTTGTCAGTCTGCAGAGGGCGACTTTCCAGCTGCAGCTCTGCGCGGCATACACACCCATATTTTTGGCACAGGATCCCACGATGCTGTCGTAACGATTCCCGTGGCGCCTGCAAGCGAGGAGACTGAGATTTGCGTTTTGTGTAAGAACCTCCAGTCTATTCAGACAGATGTTCGGGAGTCGGAGCTTTTGACTGAACTATGTTTTCTTGAATGGGACGTTGCGTTATTGAGCGAAACCTGGCGCGAAAGCGCGCGGGAGAGATGGTCGTTTGACGACGGATGCATGTTTTGCGGGTCTGGTGGGACCAAGGGGGGCCGAGGCACTGCGATCGTGCTGCACTGGCGATTGGCTTCTGGCTTCCACGCCTTCCACGCAGTGAACGACAGACTGCGCGCCCTGGACGTCAACATCGGGGCCCACCGGTTTCGCTTCATCTCTGTTTACATGCCGCACGGTGGTGATGCAGACGCTGATGTGGACGAAATGTATCATTTGATTGAGGGTTTACTTTCCGATGCTCGTGCCTTGCGGCGGTCGTGCGTCGTTGGAGGCGATTGGAATGCGACCGTTGGGGCCCGACAGCCCAGCGATGATGCTGACGTGGTGGGTTTACACGGTGTTGGAGACCGCAACGCCCGAGGAGAACTGTTAGCGCAGTGGGCAGCTGGCCATAATCTGGTACTTGCCAATGCGATTTCCGATAAGGGTTTCGACAAATTGTGGACGCGCCAGAATGGAGCAAGCAGGCGACAGCTCGATTATTTTCTGGTGAGTATGGACAAATCACGGTGCATTGCCGACGCAGAGGCTACTGAAGATATAGGTGTCGGCGTTGACCACCGCACTGTCCGGCTGACTCTGTCCCTTCCTCGGTCCAAGCGCAAGGCGGGGGGGCAGCGCGCCAGACGCGGTTTCCGCGGTTGGAAGCCGAGCAACAGCGTTCAGTACCGAGACGAATTGGACGCACGCCTCCGTGCTTCCTGCAGCGGCTCTGACCCGACACCAGACTTGGAAAACAGATGCGTTGCTATCGAGAGTGCTCTCAAACATGTTGCGGAACAGCGTCGGCAAGCTGAAGCAGACGTTGTTTCCGACGCAGAGGCTTCGCGACAGCTTCTCCGCAGCCTTATCGACCAGCGCAGGGCTGCTCGCAGGGCGGGCGCGAAGGATACTGTCCGGGACGTCAGCAAAAAGATCCGGAAAGAGATCAAAGCAATTGCATGTGCACGGAAGAGTGCGAAAACAAGCATCATCTTGGCTGAGTTCCGGGACCTGCGTCGACTCGTGGACATCCGGAACAGCGGCAAGAGAGATTGCATCTGCTCCATGGTCGACGAAAACGGGACCGAGAGAACTGACATCAATGACATCGCAGAGGTATTTGCTAGCTTTTTTGAATCACTGCACGACGGGGCGCCTGGAGCGTATTGTTGCGATGCCGGTGCCAGCCGAGTGCCTGCTGTCACGCCCGACGAA